TACTCTTCAGATATTTCTGTGAAGGAGAGAGTCATCTTATAAACCCGACTCACTCATTTTCTTTTACTCTTTGTATGCATACACATACATAGATGTGTCTCTATATACAGAAGTATATATGTGTATTTGCCCTCCCCATGGGTTGTTGTCAATAGCAGTAGCAGAAGTTCCCCACTCTTTCAGCTTGAACTTCTCATGAGTCAGTATGTCTTGGCCATGTTTGTTCCTTGTGCTGATGGAAAAGCCACAGCGTTGTTGGCTAACAAAGCTGTTTGTATCACACTGATATTTGAATGAGGGTTTAAAAAAAAAAAATTAAAAAATCCTAGTTTTCACTGGTCAGAATTAATGTGTTCTGGTTGACGTGATGTGTGAGTTATTGATGAAATACATGCTGTTTTTATCAGAAGAAAAGCAAGTCTTTGCAGCAAGGGATGGATGAAAGGAGAAGGAAGCTGGAGGAAAGCATGCATTTCTTTATTCTCTACAACCTGGGATCTTTTAAAGAAGAACAATATTTTTTTTTCTTGCAATTGTCAAACACTGGCAAATAGTGACTTCAGTACTTCAATTAACTCTGAATGTTCCTTCCATAATTAGGAAAAATATCTTCACTGAGAGAGTTGTGAAACATTGGAACAGCCTACCCAAGGAAGCAGTTGAGTCACCGTACTTAGAGGTATATAAAAGTTAAGTGGATGTGATACTTAGGGACATGGCTTAGTGAGAGACATGGCAGTACTAGTTCAACAGTACAATGACCTTGGAGGTCTTTTCACACCTATGTAATTTTGTGATTTACATCTTGAGTTGTGTAGGGATTTTTAGTCTCCACTTAATGCCCAGAGAGAAATGCCAGAGTGAGATCAGTCACCATGATCCTGTGCTGTCTGCAATTCTAAGACGCAGCAACTTTGTCCTGTGAGCCACCACCTTCTATTGGTGCCTGTGCTGCAGAGCTGTGCAACTTCTCATCTTGCCAGTGCCTTTTTTACAGTTGATGGATATGTTCTGCCTGCAGACAAGCTTGTGTCTGGGGTGAAATTCAGTTACAGCAATTGTATATTGGGTGAGTTCTGCATAAACTCTAAAAATAGTTAACAAGGAACTACAATAAAAGGCTATGTTGTACAGAAATTACATCTGCAAGAAATGCGAGCTGCCAGAGGCAGGAGAATCTTTTCTTGACTGAAGCATAACTACAGCCTTTTCCCAAAAAGACTTTTTGAAAACTTTTTATTAAGTTGCTATGGCTGAAGCAGACCTCAGTGCTTTCTGCTCAGAGATCTGGAGCCTGCCCTGGGGTGCCATGCAGGTCTCTCCAGACCAAGGAAGAGCCACGTGCAGCTGCTCCATCGATGGAGGACCAGGGTCTGCCTTTAGGGAATGCGCAAAGAAAGGTGCCCTGCACAGGCACATGCTGGGGGAAAAATGCCTGATGTTTACTTGCTTTTAGGTCCATTTTGAGTACTGGAGACAATATATGCAAGTTTTTGCACCATGCTGGGAGTAACTTGTTTTTTTTACTTGTGGCAAAAAAAAAAAAAATTCAGTGCTGCGTGTATACAGCTATGTATGCACAAAACCACAAATTTGTCTGTTTTTTAGATAGGAAGGACCTATGTGCTGACCTGTAAAACCACTCATCTTTAACACTTCTTTACATCGTGTCTTCTCATCTAGCTCTTAGAGGGATATTTGGGTGTTCTGCCTATCTGAACAGATCCAGGGATGCTGTTTGCTCCTCTTTTTGATGAAGGTATCCTAATTATCTGTAAGTGTAATTTCTTAACTCTGAATTCTTTTTCTCCTTTTCATTCCCTAGAGAAGTGTTCAGATTTGATACAGTTTGGTAGCATGGTACATTAGATGTAATCCTATACAGCTGATAGCTTTTCTTCAACTAAAGTATACTTAAACTGTAGGTTTTAAAGTTCTTGGTTATGTAGGGCTCAAAAGAAGAGTTTTAGGTTACTGGACTGAAAAGCATATTCACTTTTTCCCCGAGGCCTGGTACTGCATCTAGTTTCTGAACACATTTTTTAATGAATGGAATTCCAGTGTCTTCCTGCAAGTATTCTGATTGTATGTTTATTTAGTTAAATGGTGTTATCTCATTCCATGGTTATGGGTGTAGAGATATATTTTAGGTGAATGAGGAACAGATTTTGCACTCTTCAAAAATCTCTTCTGTTAATTTCAGCATCTTGATCAAAGATGTTTAACTTAATGGTGCAGATACCCCAACCCATGGCTGACCTGCCTTTACTGGATAAGTAGAAGGAAAAAGTGGCAGGTGCATGCATTTCCAGTGACATGCCACTTTAAATGAAGTACACAGCACTAGGTGACTTATTGCATATAGATGTGAAGAGGTTTTTTTCCATGGTTAATGTGTATGTGCTGAGTGGCACTTTGATCTTTTTTTGTTCCTGGGTTGTGTTATTGCTTGAACTCTACGCACAGATGCTTTGAATCTTCTTTGTCATGTAATTTGTGCATTTGCTCAAACTATGGAAAACAGGGTTTAAGCAAATACCTACACAGAACTTTCTGCTTGCTGGATGGAGGTTATATCATGCACTTGTTCTGAACTCTATTTGCAAAGACAAATGTCAAAACATGAAAAATTATGGAGAAGCGGGTAGTAAATCTTCTTCCATTAAACATTTCCCATTGGGTCATTTTATTACAGTCTTCAGTGCAACACACCATGCAGCTGGAGTGTTTGATTTGCTTACTGCCTTCAGGATTGTTGTGACTTCCTTGCATGCTTTTAGCCTTTGGCTCCTGGTTCAGCCACCAAAGAAACCATCTCTGGCAGAAGGCTGGTGCTTCTTCCAGAAGCTCTCCAAAAAACCATCTCCTAATTACCAGAGGAGATGAGGTGAGATCATGGCAGCCTCACTGCACCTAGTGCTCTCTTTGCTGCTCTGTCTTCCTCAAAAGACCTGCGGCTAGTGACCCCTTGCCATGGCTATTTCACATGAGTAAGCTGCCTGATATAACAGAGATAGTGCAATTACTCCTATTACTAACATATATATATATATATATATTAAATTAAGAGAGCTAGTTTGCTGTTTTGCAGGCTGCTTACCTTCTTGTTAAGGGGAGGAAAATAGGATTCCCAAGCAAAACTCAGCTGGTAAATTGTGCAGAGAACTGAACTTTGGTGGTTCAGTTCTTAGGTGCTCTGCTGCCCAGGGAAATGAACAGCTTGGATAAATGGAGACTGAAGTGACCACTGAATGCAACAAAAGCCATTGTGCAGAAATAGTCTCCCTAAGGTGGTCAGGAGCAAATGTGAGGAAAGGAGCAGGAGGCACATGCTGGATTTTGAATGGTAAGATGCCTCCTGTAATTCAAGCTGCTTATATCTAAGGCATTGTGTACTTGTCAGGTCCTGCCTGTATCTGTAATATTCACTTGTGTATGAGAACTATTGAATCATGGCCTGAACCTCTGATCGCCTGAGGCAAGCAATGAGTCAGCTGTGGCAGCACAAGTGAAGGCAATTCAGTTGTGTGACCAGAAGGCGCGGAGCCTGGCTGCACTCTCTGAGACCCCATTTAAGGGTTGACTGCCACTGAGGAAGGATCTCTCTGGAGATTGCTCCTCTTGGAGTTTTTCCTGCGTGCCCAGGACGTGGGTAAGCTTTTCCATTCATTTCCAATTATCCCTTTCCAGTGTGATAATCCTTCCAACTATATGTTCTCTAAAGACCAGTATATTTGTTTAAAGATATAAAACTGTATATTTGTCAATCATACATCTGTGTACTCACTGATTAAAGAACTTGGTCAGTGAAATCCTGCTCCTGAATGATTTAGATGAAGGATTTGAAGTGCCAGAAGATCCAGAAGTGGCACAAAGGTACCACAACCAGCTCTTCTGGGTAGTTTAGCTGCCTTTATCCCTGACTTACCATCCCACCATCCCTTGCCTGCAGCTTTGGTCTGTGCTACCTCTGGGTCATAGAAATTCTGAACGGATTGTAGTTAGCAGATATATCTGCTGAAAGACAAATGCCTTATTTGCAAATCCCTGTAGGACTGAAATATTGAGTTATTCAGCACTGTTTGGGCAGGCCCAGAGGCAGAAGCATAGGCAACCAGAGAGCTTTACTGATGGGATCTTGGGCGTCATGGGAATTTAGCCAGCTCCAAAGTTAGGTAGTAGCTGAGAAGGGGGCTCTGAGGATTTGCGTTCTGAATGAAGGAAGAATCTCTCTGTAGATTTAGTCTGTGTAGCTGTGCAGGATGGGAGACAATTAATATCGTATAATGCTGGCTCACCATTATGTGAGTAAAGTGAAGCATAAAATTCCCCACAGCACTCTTCTTCAGTCTGTAAGAGTTCTTGTTCAAGAGTGGAAGACTGTTTAATTTTGAAATGCATATGCCAAAGGCCTCCAAGATGTGCTGTGTATTGCATTCCTCCCCTGGAACTTAGAGACTTGGCTGATGGCAATGAATGGGACTTCACATCATGACCTTCTGTCTCTCTGGGTTTGGATACAAGACATGCACTACACACTGACATACACAAATCTGCTGCAAATTGATTCCACTGCACAGAAACTTAACTGTTTTCTTTAGCTCCAGTCTCCTTCAGTGCAACTGTGTTATTGAACTGGGAGTATTCCTGGCATTGAAAGACTTTAGAGGTTAATAGAAGAGTAATTTTAGAGTATGAAAATCTGGACTCCTGCAGATGATGACTGTGGAATATAATAACTAAGCAACTAATAAGCTTTGCAGGGTGTTTAAAAAAACAAACTAACCAGAACTCTTATGTGGAAGATTCATTTATATGATACGGTCTTTGAGTTCTCTGACTATTTAGTGTCCAGCTGATCTGTTTCACTAACTGGATTTTTAAGAGGAACTTCTTCTGTTAATGTAGTCCTATCTAAGTGCTAGTATTGGGAACCTAAAAACAGGAGGGCCCACCTTCATGCTTAAAATAAGATTTTTCTCCTGCACCTTTCCCAGCAGGGGTAAGGATGCCAGGAATGATGGAAACTGAGCCAGCCGGTCTCACTGCCCACGCTGACAGCAGCACCATAATAGGCTGATACTGACAGGGACGAGCGACCCTCTTTCATATGGATGAACATAGTCTCCATTTTAATCCTTAAAAGGTGAGTTCTCTGTGAATGAGTATCTTCACCTCATCGTTACCACTGTCATTGTTACATGTCACCATACATTTTTGTATGTAAGATCTGCAGTTGTTCCTTGATGTTTTGATTTGCAGTTGCAAAGCATCAAAGTTCACTGTGCTCAGGTGGTTGTTCCTTGATGTTGTGCTGCTCTGCAGATGCTCCTGCAACGTGGAATCTAAGAACTCTAGGACAGTTACTGTCTTGCATACTGTTGGCAGTCAATGCTACTCAAAAAATGTAGATTGTTTTCCTATGGAATGTACATAACTCTTATAACTTTTTGTTCTGGCGTTTATCCTCATCTTAAGGCATCAGTGAAGCACGAAGAGGTTAGTCCATGTGTTCAGGATTAGGTTGGCACCAAAAGGCACCCAGAGATGTGTGCACCTTGTTGCTGAACACCAAAAGAGGGGCCTCTAGTTATTGGCAATGAGAAATGATGGCTGAGTATTATCTGAGCAAGCAGGAGCAATAGCAATTAGGTCAAGAAAAGAACAGGAGGCTATGGGAAGACTGAAAACTGAACATAGATCCCTTTCTAATGGATTTTGATTGAATTTTGGAGCTCAATGCTTTTCCATGGAATAGGCCAAAACTAATGCCTAGAATCAATATGTGATCAATCCCAAACATTTGGGATTTGGTTTCTTAGGGAAAATGAATGATTGTATCTTTCCACCTATGTCAATCAATAGTAGGGTTTTTTTTATTTTTATTTTTTGCAAAACCAGTGTTACTACTGTACATGTGTTAGAAATTTAATTCAAAAACCTTATGAATAAAGGCATGAAAAATACTTTGTGCTATCCACTCAGCTTCAGGAGCTCCAGTATCTGCTTTAATTAATAATGATGTATTTCTTCAAAACAAGAATAAACCCCAGACCCCACTATCAATTCTTACTATGAGTTTTCAAACCATCCATTCAATATTAACTAAATATAGTGTGGGAAAAATAAAGAAGAAATGTGTTTGTTTATATTCCCTCATCTATGAAGACATTCTGCATTACAGCAAAGATTTCCTTTCAAATTCACCTGATCTAAAAGATAGAGTTTCTCCTGACTATGCAAGTCAGCTGAGAAAGTGGCTGTATTTTATCAAACTCAGCTGCTCTTTTCCTACCAAAGCATGTTCAAAAACCAACAGATCTATTTTTGTGATTCATTGCAGTCCATTTTGCTGCTGTTCCACTGAAGGAAGTGTAATTTTTGTAATTATTCAGTAGCAAAGCTATCCAGTTGTTTAGTGGTGAAAAAGTTCCAGTCATTTCTATGATGAAGGTTGGTAAATGGAACCAGAAGAAAATTGTTTCTCTGTAAAAATGAATGGTTTGGAAAGGCCTGCATAAAACTCTGAAGTAGCACTGCAAAAAAAGGAAGGTCTCTACTATGAAGTGAGACAAAGATTGCCTTTTGCAGATGTTGAGGCTTTTGCTTCTAAGTTTGCATTGGTCAACATAGCTTTTATTATCAGAGGTCTTGAAATGAAAAGGGTCTCAGAATCCTATGCAGATGCTTATACCCACCTCAAAGGAACAGTAAAGAAATCTCAGAATATCCCTTCTAGCTGCTCCCTGTGTGTTAGAAAAATTTGTCTCTCATCGTGTTTAGTTGTGACCATGAAAGGAGAATCCAGCCAGCATCTTCCTGACTGCTCTGTGACTCCCTCCCCTGCTTGCTGAGCAGCTGCCTCCATAGTGGTCTCAAGCCCAGGGCACACTACCACTTGTCAGGGTACTTAGTATATAAGAAGCCTTCCTTCTTGGGCATTAAAGAACTGGAGAACAAGTGAGAAAATATGTGAATGGGTTCACCTTCTTAGAGGTTTACTTTCTTATTCCTTTGGGTGCTTTTGTGATAAAGAAGGTTACAATGACAACCTGCCTTTCTCCAGCCAAAACATGCAGTGAATTCAAGATCTTGAGCCTTTCAACCTGATCTAATATAGCTGTTCCCATTATCTTCATTCTAAAGGAAGGCACTGAATTGTAAGAGGTGAGGGCAGTTGACTCAGTGGCCTCGCAGGAGGGTTTGATGATGTGATCTGCAGTGCTCCAGGTGTCCTGGTGACTGAGGATGTCCAGGTACGCCAGAGCCATAAGCTGAAGCCTGCCAGGCCTCTTGTGGGTGGGGGACCACAGCATGGGGCACTGCACTAGGGATGCTGATAACTGGGGCTTGCTAGGCCTGTAGCTTTGTCTTGTGGTGAGATGGGACTGGGCACAGAGGCAGGACTGCTGCCTGGGACACACTTGCAGCACTGGATGGCAGTGTTACACAAGTTCAAACAGGTTTCTTTTCTTTCAGGTTTGAGAATAAAGACAAAACACGTCACACATGTGACAGGAAGTGTGTATTTTTCAGAGGGACATCTGTAAGTACTGTTGTGATGTATTTATTGCTCTTCCACACAGACTTCTTCCACCCCCTCTTTTTTTTTTTTTTTTTTTTTTTTTCCTCCTCTTTTTTCCCCCTGGTGACATTCCCATGCTTTCTTCCCTCCCAACACCTTTTCTCAGTGAGTACTGCAGTGTTTCCCATGCCTGTTCTGAGCTCACTGGGCAGTGGAAAGGTTGCAGAGCTAATCAACAAGCTTTGCCACTGAAAAAGCAATACCCAACAACCGTAAAACTAGTGAGATCAGTCTCTTCTCTTCCTCCCAGTTTTTTTTAGCTTTAGACACAGAGAACCAGGAGGAAGAGAACACATTGGCACCAGCACAGTGTATTCGTATTCAGTAATAAGCCTGCCAGGATCCAATATGCTGTAGGGAAAGTATGGGATTTGTACAGCTGACAGTTCACTCCTGTTATGGAGTTTGCCTGTTGCTGGTAGTGGAACAGAGCAATGGTTCCAGGGAGGATACTAAGCCGAGCAGTGCATGTGTAATGCCAGTACAAACACATGCACTCACACTCTTACTCCAGAGACATGTGTGCCACGTATTTTTGGCAGAAAGCTGTGAAGCTGGAAAAGCAGTTGTGAATATGCACTGCTACGGGTTTGTTCCTCCCACTTGGATCCTGAGCTGGGATTTTTCTCCTGCTTTTCATCTCATTTCTCAGTGTAATAGCAGGGTCACACTTTAATACAGCAAATATAATTAGAGTGCAGTTACACAGTTTGACTCCATTTCATGATACCTGTAATTACCATCCACCCATAGCTAGGAGGTTTGTTAATTTGGTGAATAAACTACTTATTATCAGACTACTTTCTGAGTTAGTATCTCACATTTTAATTGCGATGGCACTTTTTTGCACATACATCTAAGGGCTTACTGTGTAACTGTCATTTGCATCACACTACGTTTGTGATTGAGTTCAGTCTGTTTCTGAACATATGATATTTGTCTGCACAGCAGTAGTATGTTAGGTCAATTCAAAAAGGTAAATCAGTACTCGCATTAATAACTCACACCCATGATTCCTACAGGATATCCCTACCCTGCTGAAGCATGAAGGATTTTAAGGAGTGTTCTGGGGTTGGCTCTTGTTTTCGCTCATTTCTTTGTTCTGTATACACAGCCATAGAGGTGAACCAGAACTGCCCACATTACAGCTGGCTGACAAGGCTTACAAAGCACGGCAGGTCTTTGGGACTGGGAGAGAAGTCATGGAGGACACAGTTGGTCTCCTTGCATCCCCTTCCACATGGCTGTAGGTATCCCCTCTGCTGGATTCAGCACAGCTTCCATTCAGATGTTATAGCTTCACATTCCTAATGCTGACATCAGTTTGAATTAATTTTTTTAGTTTTAAGTATAAAGTCTCTGCAGAGAAGAAATTGCTACTCAGTTTATATTTCTTCATGCGTCTGGGACTTTAGGGTTCTCAGAGGACCTTGGAGTAGGCAGGCACTCACAGCATTTTAAAATCCATTGGGAATTCAGTCCCTACATCTGTTGGGACTCAGTACCCTGTGCTCACCCTCAGGGCTACAGGAGCAGGAATCACAAACCACTATGTGCCAGAGATCTGGGGTGCAGTCTGGCCCTTGGCTCAGTGAGGATGAGTGCAGGAGCAGTGCTTGCAAGGGACAGAGGAAGGAGCAGTGCTGGGAGAGGTGCCTCAGCCAGCTGCTAATCCGTCTTTGTGTGGGTACAATAATTAGGAAAATTGTAGCTCTTTGAGTAAGAGGCCGTTTATGTGCCTTTGCTGTTTATATGTATCTAGAAGGAAATTGCAGACAAGTGCCTGCCAAGTGTATCCCTAGAAATATTTTTGAAACTGTCATCCACAGGCTTTGAATACCAGAGGCTGTTTAATCTCTCGCCCACTCGCTTTCTCTCTCTGAGCCCCCACCTCCCACTCTCTGGCCTGATTTCTGTAGGGAGAAGAGTTTAGAGTTTTATGGCAGTGTGAAGACTTATGCAGTTTTGTTTGAGGACAGATTCCAAAGGTGTCACCGCTGGGCAGTCCCTCCTTGTGGACAGAGCAGCATCATCTCAGTGTAAAGCGCAGGGACCAGTGCATGGACACTCTGGGGACACTTTCTGTTCCTAGGGCAGGTGGCTAGTGTGCTCATCTGCTCTCTCTCACAGGGTTGAGAGAGAAAGAAAACATTTTGGGTGCAGGCAGCTGGCATATTGCAGAGACTGAAATCTGCTATCAATGAAATGGGACTTGCCATCACTGGCAGTACTGCATTTGGAGCACCATATTTTACTTTTAGAGTGACCTTTTAGAAGTGGCCCATTGCATTAACGTGTATACTGGTCCTGTTTGGTACTGACACTAGTCCTGTTGTCTTTTGGATGTCCAGGACAGAGAGGCAGCTGGATTTTTGCAATGGATGTACTTCCTCTCTAATCAATCACCTCCTCTACTCATGATTTGCGTTCCAGTAGCTGTTATGAGTGACCTGTGCAGGTCACTCATCCAGAAGGAAATCTGCAGTGAGATGCGTAATGAAACAGAGTAATGTTCGTGGCACAAGCTTACCTAAAAATCAGTTGAAACTGTACAAACTGATTGCTATGCATCTCTGTCCTGCAGCGCATGGATGAACCTCTGTTGTTACCAAGAACAGAGAACCTGAAAACATCCAGAACTCCTTCTGTTCACCACAACTGAAACAACTGCAGACAGCAATGCTGAACTGTCAAACCATCTTATAGAAAAAAAAGCAAAGAAGACACCTCTCTTTGGTAAGAGGAAGGGCATTTCTCATGTGTCTTTCTGACTCCAGTTTTAAAAAGCAAAACAAACCGGCCCCATGTATGTTCTTCTTTACACGTTTCCATCCCTTATTCAGGACTGATGCTCCAGGATTTATGGGTTTTTTTTTTGGTTTTTTTTTTCTTTTTTTTTTTTTTCCCCTGTTTTCTGTAATCTGGTATTTGAATTTTTACTGTCAGTAATTTGGATTCCTGGAGGTAGCAGCAGATTCAAACACAGAGGCAGAGTTGCTGTGCTTTAGGCATTTAGAGTCTGAAGTGTGTGGTGGACAGTTAAAAGTATAATCCACCTACCTTTGGGATCCATGGGGGTTCTTCCACTTAATAAAGCAGATGTGCCAAGTCTGAACGGGGGGGAAAACATCTTAAAAAAGAGGTTGACTCAATCAACCTTTCTTCTATTTGGATTATTTTAAATACTTCAGCAAAGAATCAGATCATTTCTTGTCCTCTCTTGATTATTTTGTCCTTTTTTCATGTGTGTTTCCTTACTAAATTACTGTTCACCTGTTGGCAACTTCCAAGTTTCTAGGTGAAATCTAACAGCTGCAGATCTTGGGTTCTTAATTGGTTACAACTCACAGAGAGCCAAAAAAAAATAAATAAATAATAAAAAAAATCAAGTTAATGGTCTTCCTGAGGAAGGGACTAATTTGCTCTCATGAGTGGATATATAAACACTAATTATATTTGAAAGGCTTTGGCTATTAAAACCAAATTAGGAGGAATATGTAGGGCTTTCTTCCTCACCTTCCCACAAGCGTGGGCTGAAAATTGCCCTGACCTTCATATCCTAATTCCTGTTTTCTTTTCAAGTTATGTCTGGCCTGGTGTTGGCCTGTTTACTGAGGACAGGCTCTGTATTTAGAAGAAAGGTTAAGCTAGCAGGGGACCACTTGTGTTTCATGGTGATCTATCCACGGCTGTTTTCTGGAGGTGTGAGCTGAGGCTTCCCTGCTGCAGTACTGACCACAGTTGACAGCTGATGGCAAAGACAATTTCCAGAGTGCAGGTTTTTATGTGTTTGGACAAATCAAATTTAGTAACTACCAACCGTGACAATTGTCAGCATTTGTGCCTTCCTTGACAGTGAAGTGAAAAATCAAACAAACCAATCCCTGTGAGTTCTTCTCTGATATGTTTGTATCGAGCAAGTTTGAAAAAAAAATCAAACAAAAAAAAAACCAAGACCAAAACAGTGGTTATTTGCCATTGGGGTTAATGAGCCCTACGCTGGGGAAAGGCAGTGCAATCAGGACAGGCAGCAGTGTTTGTGTCCTCACCCAGCTATCATGCACTACTCCAGCCAAGTGTCACAGCAATCTCTCAGCTGATCCTGTGCCTCTTCTGGACATGGGGACCATCTCTGCTGTGGCTGAAGATGAGAACACAGCTCAAAGCTCTGCAAAGTGTTGAAGTTGTACTGAGTCCGGAGCAAGGAGATCAGAGGCAGATACGTAGCATGTCTGCAGGTCATGGGAGCAGGATAAGGCAGCTTCTGTAAGCTCCTGCAGGAAACCTGAACCTTGGAAAAAGATCGTCTAGCCTTAAAAGTCCTATTGCTCTCTTCAAGATCCTATGTTCATCATTATAGGATGAGTAGGACAGTAGTACATGTGTTGTTTTTTTTTTTCAGCTTTTTAGCTCTTCTCACAGTGACAAGAAACACTCAGAGGCATAACTCATTATAAAGTCTAAGAGAGGTTATGTTTAATTAAACTCTGAATAAATCCAAATGAAAGATAACTGGGTCTGTCCCTCTAAGCAATACGGAATGTTAGAAAACAGATCTATATTTCACATGGTTTTTTATTCACCCATTTTGGCAGGGTGACTGGGAGAGCCTTGAGTGAGAAAGACAGATAGTGTTTTCTTTTCCCACAGAGGTGTTGCAGAAATATTCCCATCCATCGTGGCAGCAAAAAGAGAAGAGTTCCTCTAAAAATTTCTTTACCCACAAGTCTGACATGATATGGAACATTAGGGTTTCATAGTATGTTACATCTTTCTATGATATTACAAACTGGAATGCTCACATAATCATATCAAGTATTGAAGATTTCTTTCCTACTGAGATACAAAGCAAGGAATTAGTCTCAAGAATAGTTAGTTACAGCTTTTCTGGGAATGATTACATTCCCTCATCCCCAAAACATCTAATGGAGAGACTACCAGTATATTTCTTTTCGAACTCCTCCCCTTTAGATGGGAAGACCCCCATGCTGCTTTGCAGTAGTTGGGATGCACAGGTTCAGTTTCTGTGTCAGGTACAAGCTTGTAACACAACACACAAACATCCATGTTGCTTTTTGGGAGTCACAGCTGCTGATGTTCCCCATTAGGTCAGGAAATGTGTGGGATTTGCAAGTCTCTGCAAGGTAAGTGCTGTTTTGGCCTGTGTCTAGGGCTGTGACATCACTGGAGGAGCTGCAGCACAGCACGGCACTGACATGGCACTGACAATCCTGTCTGTGAAGTCCCCTTTTCTTGTGCCCCCATCTTAGTTGTTCTTGGCCTCCTCTTCACACTTGGCAGGGAAAAGTCCTGCTGGTGCTAAGAAGCCTGGAGTGAGGGATCAGAGTGAAAATGATATTCTGAAAAGGTTTTGGAAAACAGATAACAGAAAACATACAGTCACTGCTCCTGGGAGGTCAAATACAGGTGTATCTGAAAACACACATCTTCTTCTTCCAGGTACAGCCTTCTGTTCTGGCTGCCTATCAGAAAGAGTCCATGCAAACACAGCATGGCCTCAACACAAGTAATAACATCATTTGGAGAATGACAAGATTTCCATTTCACAACAGATGGAGAAGGTGAAGCCGGCATATTTTACAGAGAAGACAAGTTACAGTGCATCATGTGGTTTACACAATGCTGAGTAGTAAAGTATATTTTGGGCCTGTGCAAGCATTCTGCATGAAGGAACATGGGTGTGCTGAAAGAAAACAGAGAATAAAAAAAGCAGTATTTTTTGCATTTCATAACTATGGAAATTCTTTCCACGAGAGATTCTTCAGGAGGTCTGTGGAATTTCAGACCAGAGATCACTTTAGACAGTCCCAGTTATTTTCCTTAGGATAGTTAATAACAGCAAACAATGCTGTGACAGATGAGCTTGTACCAGGACCCCCACCTCCATCTCAAATAAATATCTCTGAGTTGAGCCAAAATGGAAGTTCCCAGAGATGGTGTATGCATTCTACAGAATTTCAGGTATCTTTTACTGGGTTGTGCTTTGTGGTATATAGGATAACATTCACCATGCTTCAGAAAAAGCCTTCCTGCATCATAGGGCTTGGAGTCATCTCCCCATCCCATTTTCTGGCTTACCATAGATAAAAGCACATCTCTGGTATGTGGGAGAGGAGAAGATGAGAAAAGGATAGTGTGAGGTCTTTGCTATTCTTTTTTCTGTTCTTATTGCAGGAAAGTAGTTTTTGAGATTTTCTTTGGTTGGGCTCCCTTATGGCT